GCTGGTCAGACTCTGGCGGCGTAATCCCCAGATTCCTGCTCCCATAAATCCACTCCTCTCTGTGCTGGGGGCTCTGGGGTGGACACCTGCCCTGGGAGGGGCCCTCAGACACCTGGATGTGAGGGGGGCACCCAGACCCCCAGCTGGGCTGGCAGCCACCCAGAGCCACCCCTGTCCCCCCGACCTTGTGGGGACAATCCTCTGCTCCCATCCTGCGTGGGCAGCTCTGCAAATCCAGGGCTGGCACGAGCCCAGGCCTGAGCTTCTCCCCGCAACGTTGTCTTTTGCAGAGGGATTTATTTAGTTTTTCTCCTAATTATCAGGAGCTGTGGACTTCCTGCCACCATCTGAGGGCTGGTAGCAGCCCTCGGTGCTCCTTCTCCTGACAGAGCCTGTTCCTGCTGTCACCCTGCTGCTGGTGTCAGCGTGGAGTGCTCAGAGGTGACATCCTGCCCAGCAGAACGTGGCCAGGGGTCTTCTCCATTGCATCCCTCCTGCAGCAGGGACCCTCAGCCACCCAGGAATCCCTCCAGGTTAAGGGATGTGCCTTGCTCCAGGAGCCCCAAGCAGCCCCTGGGGTTGCCCTGTAGCCAGGGGTTTGGGAAAGAAGGGATTTGGGAATGAAATCAGTGGGGTTGGGGCAGCTCCAGACAAATAAAATCCTGTTGGGGCAGCTCCAGAGAAATACAATCCATGTCTGGGGGCTCGTGGTTACCCCTTTGCTGAGGGATGTGCAGCAGTGTCTCAGGTGATGAATTACCTGCCCCAAACCCTGCAGCTGCCCCACCTGAGAAGAGCCATCACATCCAGAACATCCTGTGTGTTAGAATGGTTTTTATTTAGCAAATCTCCAGAGCATGAAAATAAAACTCCCGTAAAACAAGGTTCATCTTTGTGTGCACATTGAAATCATAAACTGAGAAAAAAAGGAAGACTTCTACAGAGGTCAAAGGTCACCCAGAACATCCCTTCAAGAGAAATATCAGTTTTCTGATCTTTTCACAGTTTCCCCTGTGAGTCTAGTGCTGGTCAGCAGCCACCAGAGGAGAGGGAGGGAAGGAGGGATGGGGACGAAGGGTCTGGGAAATCTTTACCCAGCTTGTTTCAATCCTGTAACCAAAACTGCACCCGGATCATGAAACACCAGGGGGGAAAAAACCTATTGTGAAACAACAGGGGTGATTTTCGTTCTGTTTGTAGATCATGAAACACCAAGGGAAAAAAACCTATTGTGAAACAACAGGGGTGATTTTCGTTCTGTTTGTGCGTGATTTTGGTTCTGTTTGTGGGCGGCAGAGGGAGGTGAGCCCGGCCAGGGCGGGTCCCAGGGAGGTGCCCGCAGGGATGGCGAGGGGACCCGGCTGCCAGCTCGGTGCCCGATCCCAGCAGCCTTTCCCCTGCCGGCTCCCGCGGGGCCTGGCAGAGCTCTGGCAGAGCTGCCAGGCTTATCTTTAGCTCTGTTCCCTCCCTCGCCCCCGCGCCCACCTCCTCGCCGCGCTCCGCGTCCCGGCCCCCGCCACAACACGCGTTATATAAGCGCTCCAGAACCATCTGGGGCTGAGTCAGCCGCGAACCCAAACGGACAGCAAGCCCCCGAGGCGGGCATGCCGACCCACGGAGAACGGGGTTCTGGGGGCATCCCCCCGCCGGTGCCACCCCCGAGTGTCCCCAGCCCGGAGCAGCGAAGGGGACAGCGAGGAACGCCCCGGCCTGGGGGGAAGGAGGGAGGGATGCTGGGGGTCGTCAGGCAAAGAGGGGAAGGTTTAATTACATACTAATGAGGTGTTTCCAAAATAAATGTGCCAGCTGCAGGGGAAGAGGAGAGGGAGTGTCGGCTGGCTGGGGAAGGGATGCTGATCTGTCAGCTTGGGCGCATCCTCTCCCTCCCGATATCCCACGGGAAACCCTTCTCACTTCTCCCCTTAAATCAGCACCACCGAGCCCGGTGTGATTCCAGATTTATCCATTTGGGGTTTCCCCCCAAAGCCCAGGGTCAAGACAGGAGATGTCCTTCACCTCCCTCGTAAAAATCACCGTATTTCCCCATGAGCAGCACCCCAGGAGCGTTTGTGACCTGAACTTTGCAGTGTTGTGCTGATTCACAATAGCTTGTCACAAAAAAACTGCCTAAAAGTGACAGAAAAAGGGACGCTGACTCATGTGTTTGCCTTCCCCGAGTGAGGAGAAATGTGAAAGGTGAACAAAGTACTTAGCGGGTGATAATTACATTCTGCACTGAAAAAAGCCAATCCATATTAATAAGCCGGAGTGTTATTGCTAGTAGAGGCATTTTACAATTAAAAAAAAATTAAAGTATTTGAGGTTTTTAACCTTGACAGTGACCTGTTAACAACAAGTGTAAGGAAACCCCTAATTTTGTCCCACTCACAATTATAAATCTGTGTTAAGGAGAAATTCCAGCTGCTGCCTCCCTGGACTCCCTGCAGGGTGCTGGAGGCTGGTTCCCTGGCTGGATCCTGGTTTTAGAGGGATGAAACCTGGTGTGGGATGGAGTGGAAGAGCTGGCCCCTCTGGCCCAGCTCTCGGTGTTGCCTTTATGGAGGGGGAGAAAGGAGTTGGAGAGGGTCCACCTTAATGTAGGATGAAAAAGCAAATTGCCAGCAGGAGAGCAGGGATGCTGCTCCGTTACTATGGTTACCCCAGAGACAGCCCAGCATCCCTGGGTATCCGTGAGGTACCCGAGCTCCTCCTGGACCCCTGGAACAGCCCTGGGGCAACTCGGTGGGCAAGGGACCAAATCTGAGGGGTCTGTAGGGTCTGAGGCCCTTGGAGAGCCTGAGAGAGGATGAATGCAGGATGGATGAAAAGCAGCACCTCCAGTAGGGCCAGGGCAAAGTTCCTTGCCTTCATCCCTCTGAGGTGAGGTGCTGGTGGGAATGAGAGCTCCCAGCCCCTCTGCCCACCCTCTGCCTCTTGATGACAGACTGGCTCAGCCACATTTCAGTGGGTTTGAGCCAAACCCACCCAAGCTGATGATGATGCTTTTGGGGAGGCCAAAAACCTCTGCAAGGACACAGAGAGATGCTCTGATCCCTGAATCCAACGGGAGAGAGGCAGGAGGGCAGTCAGTGAGGGCTGGTGCATTGCTGAGTTCACAGAGGGTTTTAGCCCTTAAAGACATCTTGAATATTAGAAGAGGAGGTTGCCAGCTAAGCAACAGCCCCAGATTCATTACACTGGTGAAAACTTCCCAGCCAGGCCTGTGGGGTGTAAGCAAGGCCATTCCCCTCAGAGGCACCCACTGCCTTCCCACCCCCGCTGCTCCCACCCCTCAGCTCAGCTCTCAGAGGTGAGGATGGTTGGATTGGAAATAAAACAAGGACCCAACACCCCGGCAGCACATTTCCCGTGGTGCCAGCATCAGCTCGGCTCCCTGGGGATTTCTGTGCAAGCAGCCACCGAGGGAGGAGTCCTGGAGGCAGTGGGAGCCGTCCCCGGGGAGCTGCCGGCTCCTGAATCATTAAAGGCTTCCACAAAGGGAGCGCTGGGGATTGCAGCACGAGGAGGAGTCACTGCCGCATGGCACGGGAGCCGTGGGAAGCTGCTGCACGGGCTGTCCCCAGCACAGAGGCTGGCAGGGCTCTGCCACAGCATCCTCCACCTCCTCCTTGGCATTTTCCTGCCCGAGATCCAGTTTGGAGTAGAGTGTTTTCCCATCTCTTCTCCTGCCTGCCTCTAACAGGCCATTAGCATCCCCGAGAACCCCCCGCTCCTCTCTTCAGCAAGAGAAAAGCTTCCAGAAAAGCATCTGGTCCAGATTTAAAGGCATTAAGAGACAGAGATTGGTGGCTTGTTCTAATAGCTAATCATTATTAAAAGATCGCTCCCTATTTCCAAGATAGATTTGTCTGGCTCCAGCTTCCAGGAAGAGGTGGTTATTATGCCTCTCCCTGCTAGATTAAGTTACCTCTGGGTACCAGTGTATCCTCCCCGTGACAAATGCTGTAATCAAGTCACCTCTCAGTCTCCCCCTTTGCTAAATTAAACGGGCTTTGCTCTTAAATCTTGCTTAGCCCCAGCCCTCTCTGTGATGATTAGAGTGAGTGGCTGGCGGGTTTGTTTTTTTTTTTTAAACGAGTAAAAACTTCCTTATGGCGAAAGGGATGGAGCCAATGGGACCCAACAGATCATTACTGGTGGGTGGAAATGATCAGCCAGCAGTCACCTGAACTGGACTGAGCCCGTGCCCAGCCTGAGGAACGATGATGGATAATTTCCCCAGGTTGTCTCAGCACACGAGCCCCATTCCCTGGTGTGAAAGCCAGGAGGAAAATCCAGGATGGCAAATCCAGGGGCTCTGTGTCCAGCAGGCCATTAACCTCTCTGTAAATAGCATCTCACACCCTGCTCCGCTTTCCTCCAGCCGTGACCATTTCAGACATTCAAACTGTCACTTGGACGTGGCGTGGTGTCCCCTGAGGTCCCCACAGGAGGCAGTGCCTGTAGGAAACAGATCCTCCGGGCCCCAAGGGGACCAAGGTCGCTCTGGGGAGATTTGTTGGCTCGGATTTGGATGGCTGGGCTGGTTCTGCCTGACACATTTTCCCATCTCCGGGCTCCCTGCATGGCTGCACTCTGTTCCTGTGGGCAGAGCCGCTGGAGCGAGTGGCACCCAGGGAGGGGCTGTGTTTGGGGGCCTCTGCAGAGCCCCCCCGATTCTGAGCATTCCTGCAGCAGGGAGGAAAATGATCCTCCCAAGAAAAAATCAGATGTGTGTTTTCTGCTCTTGCCTAAAGGCAGAAGGATGGGTATTTGCTAAAAGGCTCTTAAAAATAATCTCTCTTTGTCGTGCTGGCCCCAGTCTTGCTCAAAGTTTGCTCCACATATCCTGTGTGTGTGACAACTGACAGACTTGGAAACACGTTGGAAGTTGGCTACAGGCAGACACTCCACTATGATCTTTAAAATATACAGCATGACGCGAGATATTTTAAATAGATCAAAATACATTTATTACATATTTATATTATTTTCTCTAGTCTATTTATATCTTTTGGAGACTCTTATATATAATATATATAATATATTTAAAATAACATAAAATTGGCCAGTTTTGTCATCTGAAATACATTTTACAAATATATATATACATTGTCACATATATCTCAAATATATGTGCAATGAGACAGAGAAACACCAGAGGTGGAAAAGGTACAGATACTTCATTGCATCCCTCAGCTTCTCTACCACCACTGCCCCAGCGAACAGACTCAGCATTCCATCCCTGGCAAACCAGTGCTCCCAGTTGCCAACTCTGTGAACTGGTGCCAGATCTCCGTCCCCAAACCCAGGTGGGGCCAGGCCTGGGGGAGCACTGGGGTGTGTTTGGGGGGACATGGAGGGGACAAGGTGCCCCGGGAGCGGGCAGCAGGACAGATGTGCACAGCTGGCGGCCGAGGGGATGGGTGGCATGGGGTTGGGCGCTGTCCCACGTCCTGTCCCTGCTCCTGATGCATCTGGATCCTGCCCTGAGCCAACCCCCCCGTGGCAGCATTCCTGAATTGGGGGGTGGGAGAGCAGGATGTGGCCGGAGTGCTGGACACAGCTCGTTTCTGTGTGCAAGAAATGGGAGGGGACACACACACACACACAGAGGGGACTCTTTTGGTTGTCAGCACGAGAGGAGAGGGAAGAGCAGGAGGGTTTAAAAATAAACGTATTTGTTCTGCCTTATTAAAGATAGAAAAGGTGGCTCTGAAATCATCTCCTACAAAAGGTTTGAAGGTCAAGCAGGCACCGAATCGCGGAAGGTTGAGCGCTAAGTGATTGTCCCAGCCCTAGAAGACAAAGTGCACTAAATTCGGTGATGAGAAGCTAAGGCTCGTCCCGGAGACCCCCCAGGGCACAGGATGCTCTTCCCAGAGGTGGATTTGGGGCCTGGGGATGCTTTCTGCCCTCCCTGGGGAGTTGTTTAGGGTGAGGCCAAAGCGGAGCAGCAGCAGGGGCAGACCCCAACCCCCTGCTGCGTGAGCCCCTGCCCAGGGCAATCCCTGTGGGTGCTGCCAAGAGGATGAGGGGCTCTCTCCTTCTTGGGACTCCTGCCATCCTCCAAGGGTCAAGTGTAACTCCAGGGATGGAGCTGGCTTGCTGGAGGAAATGGCTGGTGGCTGTTTTTTGTGGGGAGAACATTTTACCTTGCTCGTCTCCAAGCCCCTTCCCACAGGGATTCCACTCCACGAAACCCACACCCCCAAAGCATCCCTGTGCCTTCCCAGCCCCCTAAGGAAACCCAAGTGCTGAACTTGGGCTTTCCCCACTTTTTTTTGTTTCTTTTTTTCTTTTTTTACCCCTTTCTTTGACAACTGATGGGATTTAAGCTATGGCTGGGCAGCCTTCCCCATGCTCCCTGGTGGCAGGAAAAAAAGACCAGTAGCTCTGAGCTCTCACAGGTAGGCAAAAATAATATTTATACACTATGTACCGGCGTGGTCCATGGGCAGGACAAGGACTGTACAGTAGATATAGGACATCTCACCAGAGCTAGACCCTCACTAGCAGGGCTTGGGGCAGGGGGTGTGTGAACAGGGGCCAGGGAAGGTCTGAAATCCCCTCACTGTGCCAGCCACAGGCGCTCCCTGTCCCAGTTCACATCCTCCTACACAGCAGTTTAAAAATACATCTGTATATATTATTCTATTCTCCCAGGTAACACTGTACAATCATAGAAGTTTCTTTAAAAGCAATAATTTACTTAAAGACATCTCTATTTCTCTTTCGTTTTTATACAAATATTTACTGTGATATATATATATATTTATAAAGAAGTTAACCCTCTGAGAACTCTACAGCAGCAAGATGTGCACCTTTTATTTTTTTAATAATTATTTATTCAAAAGAACCTAAAACCACTTAAAAGCATTTGTTTTAAAAAAATAAATAAGTAGTGCTCACACAAAATCTCTCTGCCCGCCCCCCATCCATCCTTCCCACCCCCCCAGATGCTGTGGTGCAAAAAGCAGGGGGTAAAAGCATCCCCCCAGGAACAAAGGGATTGGTGATGGGATGGCATCCACCTTCACTGCCTTACAAACATAAATGTCATGGCTGGAGCTCAATGGCACGTCCCTACGTGTCCCCGCTTTTGGGGACAACGCATTTGGGGCACTCAGTGCTGAGAAAGCTGCCTCCCAGTGCTGCCCCTGGAGAGAGTTTTCCCCCAGTGGTTTTTAGAGGAAGCCAAAAAACAGAGCAGCCCCTTGGTGGGCAGTGTGGGGTGATGGTGACAGACACTGGTGGGAAGAAGCTCTGCAGGGATGATGTCCCTGTCCCCAACACGGTGCTCGGTGGCACAGGGCAGTGGGACACTCGGGGCAGCCCTTCCCCAGAGCCCTTGGCAAAGAGAAGATGGGGATGGGGACACAGGACAAATCCTGCTTCTGCCACCCATGTTTGGACACGCCACAGCAAGTCCTGACCCCAAGACACGGCTTCCCTGGTGTGGGCTGTGGGGGGAAAAGCACCGGGAGCCCATCACAGCCAGAATGCTGTGCAGGACCCCGCTCTTGAGCCCTCTCCCCAAGGGCTCCATGCCCAGGGTCAGATGAGGGATGCCCATGGGTACAGAGCCTTTCCCATGGCCACAGGGAGCAGGGAGCCAGAATTTGGCTCCCAGAGCACCAACGAGCAGCACGGCCAGATGAAGGGACCCACAAACCTGCACCTGCCTGACTCCTTCCCTCTGTGGGGAGCAGGGCAGGAGCAGAGGCTTCCCAAGCATGGGGTGCTTTGCCTTGTGCCGGAGCCAAAGCTAAACCAGGTTTAAACCAAGGCCAGCCTGAAAGGCGGTGGATGATGAGATGTGGGTGCTGAGAGCAAGAGGGGGGATGCAGGATGGGGCTGTGGAGAAGGGCTGGGACACGGGATGAGTTTGCATCTCTAAGGCACAATCCACCTTGAGGCTGGGACACAGGGATGGGCTGAAGCGCAGGATGGGGTGATTTTCTCAACTGGCATCTGTTGTTTTGGGGAGAACATCTGCCTCTGAAGCAGGACTCTCTGGTGGGTTGGGAATTCATAAAGCCCAGCCTGGCACGGACACAACTCCAGGACTAGAAGTGCAGCCCAACAAGATGACTTTCCCATTGATTTCCATGTTTGAAAATATTCTTCAAGGAACAAAAATACCAAATTGGTCAGAAAAGTGGGGAAATACCCAATTCTGAGAGCTCTCCACTCTCATTTTTGTGCTTTTCACTGTAATGTCCCAGTTATAGTGAACCTTATGAATTCCCCATCAGAGATGTTGGGGAGACCCAACACTTCAGCAGCTGATGTTACAGACCCCATTTCCACCCTGAAATCCAACATTTCCAGAAATTGGCTAATTACCGTGTTTACAATTTTTTTCTCTCACAGCCCTGCTTATCGTTATTACCCCCTTTGTCAATAATTCCACTACTTTCTTTCACTGCCACAGACCTACAGTCACTTACATCTGTTTTCTGCATATGAAGCCATGCCAGTGGTAAAAAACCACCCCAAAATTGGATACAGTCTTAACCTTTAGCTCTTGAATTTACCTAACAAGTCATCCCCTCAAAGGACCTGGTGTCTTCTTCATTCCCTTGTTCATTTTTAAAAAATACTGAATGACTTCTTTCAGATTTAATATTATTATTATTATTGTTATAATTATAATAATAATAATTATTATTATTATTTGGTAAACAGTCTCCCAAACGGTGTGGTGAAAATATTAAAAACCCTCTCACCTCCCTCCCCCGTTTTTTCCCAAATTAAAAAGAAGTACATTAATGTTGCATGTTATTTCAAGTGTTGTTCTTGTGCAACTGAACCAGACCGCCTGCCGAAGGAGCAATTGTTTTGTTGTTACTGCTCAGTTAAAAAATAAAAGGAAAAGAAAAGAAAAAGAGAAAGAGAGTAAGATTTGTTTCCTGATATTTCCTCTTTTTGGATCTCGCAGTGCTCGGCTCCAGGAAAACGCTGGCGTTTTCCCCGCGGGGAGAGCAAAGCCCCACGGGGCCGTGCGGGGCGAGCTCCTGCCCACGCCCCACGGACCCTCCTCTCCTCATCCTTCCTGCTGTCCATCCATCCATCTGTCCATCCATCCCCCAGAGCCGTGGGCCCTGCCGCGGGCGCTGGGCGCGGGGGACGCGCCGTGGCCTGCCACCGTCCCCTCTGCAGACCGCTCAGTGGTTATTGCGATGAAACTGAAAACTATGAACGATACTAATTTCTCAAGCATTCCTATGGCACTTGCATTGTTCTGCATAATTTGAGCGGGTTGTAGGGGAAGAGATTAGAGGAGGAAAAAAAATACCCTTGGAAAAGTCAACGGAAGGACCAAGCGTCATATTTCTGACTCCCTCCTGTACGACCGCTGATCCAACGCTATTGTGGCTTGAAGCCTGTCGAACTCGTGCCTGTTGTCTGGGCTGAGGTCCTCCAGACCCCGACTGTCATCATCTTCCTCTTCCTCATCGCGGCTCATGAAGGCCAGCTCGTTCTCGTAGCAGAAGGAGTTGGTGCTGGGCAGCAGGAATTTGTTCTCCACCAAGTCCTTGGCGCTGCAACGGGGCGTGGACGGGACCTCGTAGGTTTTGTGGAAGTGGGAATAGTCTACTTTGTACTGGTTTTTCTCCTCAAACAGGACAGGCTCGAAGCGGTGGCCCCACAGTATCTCACTGGCCAGGTAGGAGCTCCGAGCTTGCGTCGTCATGGCTGTGGCCTCTACCATGCCCTCCAGGATGACGACGATCTCAAAGTCATCTGTCTCCAAGTCCTGGCGGCTGATCCCGAACAAGGGGCTGTCTTCGTTGATCTCGTGGAGAATGGTGATGGGAGACACCAAGAAAATACGGTCCAAGCCTTTATCAAACCCCACGTCAATGTCTATTTGGTCGAGCGGGATGTACTCCCCTTCCTCTGTGATCCTGGGCTTAATTAGCTGAGCTCGTACGTGGGCTTCTACTATGTGGCTTTTCCGTAGGTTCCCAACCCTCCACATCAGGCAGAGTTTTCCATCTCTCATTGCCACTACTGCGTTATGGCTGAAAAGTAATGTCTGGGCCCGTTTTTTGGGCCTGGCCATTTTTGCCATTATTGCACCAATCATGAAAGAGTCGATTATGCAGCCCACGATGGACTGAACCACCACCATGAAGACGGCGAGCGGACACTCCTCGGTCACGCAGCGGAAGCCGTACCCAATCGTTGTTTGGGTCTCGATGGAGAACAGAAAAGCAGCCACAAAGCCATTGACCTGCAGAACGCAAGGCTTGAAAGTATCATCTCCACCCGGGTTTTCTAGGTCTCCATGGATGAGTGCAATTAGCCAGAAAATCAGCCCAAACAATAACCAGGACACCAGAAATGCCAGGGAAAAGAGCAAGAGCATATACCTCCAGCGGATATCAACGCACGTGGTGAACATGTCTGCAATGTACCTCTGTGGCTTGTCATCCATGTTGGTGAACTCCACGTTGCACTGACCATTCTTCTTTACAAACCTGTTCCTGCATTTCCTCCTGGTGTGGATTTTCCCATTGCCAAAGCCGTTGATACCAGGCATGGTGGTCAACCTCAGCCCGTCTTCCTCGGAGGACACGATGCTGTAAGGGTTGACTCTGCCCGTTGTCATCCCTGAGCCAAGCCCACAGTGAAGGTGAAGAGTCTTGCGACTCCCAGTGTCCCCCTGACCCACCCCTGCCCACCCCCCAAATTCTCCTGTGGTGGAAGAGAAGTCCCAAACTTCCACGTCTTGGCTGCCACGTCACCACGTGGATCCTGTGAGAGGCTCTGCAATGAGAAAACAAAGACAGGGCCATTACCACTCATGGCACAGGGACCCAAGGGGCTGCTTGGCCAGTGGTTCTAATGGGCTGTATGTTGAGTGACAACCTCCTACACTGCTCTAATTCTCCCTTCCTTGGCTGGGCTGCTCTCAAAAACCACACAGAGGAAAGGAGAAGGTGTTAAAGTTTCTTCTTTCATGATACGAAGTGAGTGAACAAATCTTACTGCATTTGTGGGACACTCAACAACTTCAGCAGATGAAAAACCTGGAGTTTCTCCACTTCACTTTTCCCACGAGCTCTGCCACCAGAGAGGAAAGCAGAGAGGCCGAGCTGTTCTCCGTGGGACACAGATACCAATAAAGGTACTCCTGGAAGCAGCTCCATCAGTTCACATTGCCCGTGCCAGATGGATCGGCGCCCAGCCCAGCGCCGACCTCAGAGCACCAGCTCTTCTGGGCTCCAGGGAAAGCACAGGGAGATGTGGATTTAACCTCTGTCCCCCTGCCCGGGGATGGGAGAGGACACAGCCAATGCGCATCTGGTTGGAGAAGCTCCCAGGAAGGTACTTGCTCAGGGCAGATGTCCTGAGGAGCAACTTTCCCAACGTATCCATTGGGACATGGAGCCATCCACGGTCACAGATGGGTTTAGCTGGCCAAGTCTCATGAAGGAACAACTGCCACTGGGGAATGGGGAGCTGTTTTGGTCCCTTCTGGAAGGCTCAGCTGCAGGGTCAAGAACCTACACTCAGCTTTGCTTGGGAGAGAGGTGACAAGGACATGGGAGAGGTGGCTCAAGCCTGGTGGGCTCCCTGGTGGAGGTGAGCACATGGTGGGGGAACCCACTCTGCCAGGCTGCTGGACCCCCCCAGCCCCTCGTGGGGCTGCACCAGGGAGTGGACACGATTGTGGAGAAGCCATGTGGCACACCCCAAGCACCTCAAAGAAATGGCACCACAGGAACTCTCCACACACTACCCCCCCTGATAGATCACCCTATTATTTAGTGCTATGGGACATGCCACTGAGGATGGAACCTCCTGGCTGGGGGTGAGTCCTGCACAGGGCACCAGCGTGGTGGGGGAGCCTTGCTGGTGGTGAGTCCTGCACAAGGCACCAGCGTGGTGGGGGAGCGGGCACTGAGCCCCCGTGAGAGCCCAGCTGGTGCCTGGAGCACAGCAAAGCCGCCGGGCTGGACGCGCTGTGCCGGATCCGCCGGCCCCGTCGATGCGCTCGATTCCTGCAATCAGCTCCAGTGCCCGGGGACACGCTGGGACAAACACACCCTTTCCATTACACAGTGTCCAGGGCCAGCCAGCGCCAGGGAGCATTGCCAGGCACAGCCTGCCTGGGGCTGCAACATCCCGGCTCGCAATGATACCCTGCACTGACTTTCACTGAAATGTTCCCCAAATCCAGCCTGAGAATCAAGAAACCCTCCAGAAGCACTGCACCACAAGCAGGAGAACTAAAGCCTGCCCAAACCCCCCAGCTGCTAAACACAGACCCATGTGTGCCACCAACTTACACCAAACAACACATTTCCCCCTGCTGCAATCCAAGCACAAGCATTTTTATCCCCAAAGTTGATTTTTTGAGAGCCACAGCCACATCTCAGCAACCAAGGAATTGCTCACACACAGACAAAGATCCTGTCCCTCTTTGGAGCCACAGGGGAGAGTAAAATAGGCACAAAGAGTTAATATTAATAAATAAATATTAGTAAATATTTACAATCTTATTGAAACAAGTGTTGAAACAGGACCAAAGCTGCCTTTCTGAGCTGATCTGTCAGGCCAGATGCCCAGCACCAACCTGGTCTCCCACCCTGAGTTTTCCTCCTGTCCATCCTGGCTGCATCCATTAATGTTTCTCCTCTTTTTTTAAAATATGAGATCTGAGCATTTTGGGCCAGAAAAGGCTGCTCCTCTATCACCCCTCTGGCTTGCCCCAGGGCAACACACCAAATGCTTTTGCCACAAGAGGAATTTAGAGTTGGGCTTTTTAAATTAATTCTAGATGCATTTGAGAAGTGAACAAAACACAATGAGCCCCCAGTGACCTGTGAGAGGATTAGCTGGGGTCTGGATTAACTGTGCTGGAAGGGGAGCTGTGCCCGGGTGACTGCAGAGGCAGCAGAGCTGCCCTCACCTGTGGTGGAGTTTCCAGGGGCCCTCAGGTTCTTCATCCCCATCACTGCTCCCCCCTGTCTGCACCCCTGCACCCCTTTCCCCTTCCTTCCTTCCTTCCTTCCTTCCTTCCTTCCTTCCTTCCTTCCTTCCTTCCTTCCTCCCCTTCCTCCCCTTCCTTCCCTTCCTTCCCTTCCTCCCCTTCCTTCCCCTTTTTCCTCTCACACAGAGTTTCAGGGACCCCTCTGCTGCAGGGTGATGCCAGGACAGCCCCCAGGAGCCGAGTCTGGTTTGGGTGCAGGGACGCTCTTGTGGCACAGCCCCTTTCCCATCTGGGACCCCACACTCCCGGACCGAGCCCTTCCCGGAGCTCCAGGGGGACAGACCCCCCCGTCCCAGGCAGCCTGGGGAGACGGCAGCTAAATAAAGGCAGCAAAGTGGATGTGCCGGAGCAGGCGGCCGCCTGCGGCTCGTCCTTTATTTAGCACAGTTTTGTTTGGAAATACACTTTCTCGAGTTCGCTGAAAGCTGAATTTCTGGTTTGGTTTAAATTTGAAGGCTGGAGCCCCACGCTGCCGCTGCGGGAGGCTCGGGCTGGGAGAGTGCTCATGCAAACACACGGAAACTCATGGCTGGACGGGCTCTGACAGGGGACCAGCCGGGGACAACATCCCCAAGGCATCCCCTTGGCTCGGGAGTGCATCCTCCAGCCCCACCCTGGCACATCCCCACAGCCAGAACTGCTCCAGGGGCTGCCAGAGGTGTTCTGGAGCTACATCCCCAGAGGTGTTCCTGGAGCTACATCCCCCTGTTCCTGGAGCTACATCCCCCTGTTCCTGGAGCTACATCCCCAGAAGTGTTCCTGGAGTACATCCCCCTATTCCTGGAGCTACATCCCCCTTCCTGCCGGTTTCCCACAAACCTGCCCATCACAATTTTCCCTCACAGGAACAAAACGAAAACTTCCCTGACAATCCCTGCCGGCTAATGCCATTCCCAGCCCAGCTGCAGCGCAGGCAAACCCCGCAGGGTGCGGGGCAGGAGCGGGACCAGCCCCGCTGTCGGTGCCACGCGTCCCGCGCATCCCCCTGTTCCTGGAGCTACATCCCCCTGTTCCTGGAGCTACATCCCCAGAGGTGTTCCTGGAGCTACATCCCCCTGTTCCTGGAGCTACATCCCCAGAGGTGTTCCTGGAGTACATCCCCCTGTTCCTGGAGCTACATCCCCCTGTTCCTGGAGCTACATCCCCAGAGGTGTTCCTGGAGCTACATCCCCCTGTTCCTGGAGCTACATCCCCCTGTTCCTGGAGCTACATCCCCAGAGGTGTTCCTGGAGTACATCCCCCTGTTCCTGGAGCTACATCCCCCTGTTCCTGGAGCTACATCCCCAGAGGTGTTCCTGGAGCTACATCCCCCTTGTGCCTGGAGCTACATCCCCCTATTCCTGGAGCTACATCCCCAGACGTGATCTTGGAGCTACATCCCCCTGTTCCTGGAGCTACATCCCCCTTCCTGCCGGCTTCCCACAAACCTGCCTATCACAATTTTCCCTCACAGGAACAAAACGAAAACTTCCCTGACAATCCCTGCCGGCTAATGCCATTCCCAGCCCAGCTGCAGCGCAGGCAAACCCCGCAGGGTGCGGGGCAGGAGCGGGACCAGCCCCGCTGTCGGTGCCACGCGTCCCGCGCGGAGCGAGCAGCGTTAACACATGGGAAACAAAACAGGCTCATCACACGAGTTTCGGGAATGAGCGGCCCCGGCTCCCCGCGGCTCGGAAGGCAGGACTGCCCCAGCTAATGAGCTGAAAAGAGAGGCAACAACTCCTGCCACGAAACTGCAGCAGCCCAGCTCCCACGGCGGAGCGGATCCCCGCCGAGAACCCGAGCGTCTCCAGCAATCTGCCAACTGAACACTAAATTTTATTTATTTTTTTTCTTAAAAGGGGATGTTAAATGTTACAACAATATTCGGAACAGCCAGCACGCTGGGAAAATGTGCTGAGTGCCGGGGATGTCATTAGTTAGAGCCGGCTGAATGTGTCAATGCGATTTATCATCACACCTTTCCCTGCGCCTCTAGACAGGGCGCGTCTCGGCTGCCACCCGCATCCCAGAGTGGATTTTCCCCTGGGAGTGTGCACACAGGCGGGCTGTGCTCCCAGCAGCTCGGTTTGGGGGTGACGAGTTTGCAGTGCCCCGTGCTCGGGGCAGGAGAGGTGACCGGCCGGGAGGGGACGGCGTGAGCGGGTCACGCTCGGGGCTGCTGCCTGCCCCGAGCCGGAGATAGCGCTGCCCTGCTCGGGCAGATAACGCCGCTATCTCCCGGGCGATGCCCTTCATGGCCCAGCAGCAGGACAGCAATGTCAGCTGCCAGGAGGGAGCTCCGTGTGCGGCACAGCCGAGAGAGCCCAAATATCCCCTGCTCGCCCCGTCCCGACAGAGCCACCCCTCACCAGGCACCCCAAACCGAGGGAGGCAGCTCAGGGGCTGGAGGCTCCCCGAGCCGTGCCGGAGCAGCAGCAACGCCTGAATAATTCCCTCCTACAATGCCCTGTCCTTGAGCACTGCCAAAAAATTACGGGTCAGCACAAAGCAGGCCAGGTCAGGACATATAAAGAATAAATGAGAATAAATGGCCCCCTGTTTCCCCTCCACTGCCAGGGAGGACAGGAAAGAGGTTCCCACCACAGTGAATCCCTAATGAGAAAAAACTGCTCCATTTTGGCAAGGACACGGGAGGAAAACAGCCACAGGCACACACCCCTCCCAGGACACCCACATACCCCCCTATTTCCAACAAGCAGCTGAGAAATCGATGTCTGCAAGCCTTGATGGCACATACAGAAGGGAAACTGAGGCACATGGGAAAAGG